CCCCCCCCCCCCCCACCCCGCCCATCCATCGGAACAAAGAAGCTGAGCCTTTGATATACATCCGGTTTCACATGGCTGCGCTCTCAAACCAGCGTCTTGTACCACGAATACAATGACGCTGCTTGATGCAATCACCTGGACTAGGAGACCGGCATGATTTCAGACTTCAGACACGCTCGAAAGTTGAGAAAGTATTCTAGAATAGTGGGGACGGAGCACACAAGGACTACGCCATCAGAAACGGTGAGAGAGGCCCCCCAATCCCAGAACATGCGTTCTACGTAAACTGAGAAAATTTGTCAAATGTTGGATATCTGGCTCGAGATTACTTATTTGTTTGTTCTGGAACTATGTTCCGTCCCCTCCAACTTGCAATGATATGACTGAATACAATCGCCCCTTATAGCCTACAGTTCAGGCTAAACTGGTGGCAAACCAAAACTTTGGGAGAATAATATGTGCGTCATCAGTTTGCCAAACCCTTGAAGCAAAAGCTTCCTGTCGTATTCTACAAGCATTCATTGCTTTATTGACCCTGACAACTCCAGAGCACAGCATTCCTTCCTTCCAACAAAGTTGTAATCCAAAACTCCGAAAACACTTCCCTAAGTGCCAGGATGCATGCTCGAAGCATTTGACTGATTGCGGGACTTCTCTTCTAAAACGTGATAACCAAGACGCGTCTTGTGCATCCAGAACGAGGCCATAATCTCATGAGCAACATCTGACGCATGAAGCGCCATGTGCCCTATCTGCAAACCTGAAAAGCGCATACGCCCTGTTCTGTATGTTCCCCTTGCATGATGGTCAAAGCACCCCTCTCCTCCTGACCTCCTTGACCTATGTGCTGCCAAAACGTATTTTTGCCAGGAAGGCATGTATCAGTCAGATTGAGTTTGTAACGGACGGGGGATGGTTGGCTCAACATCCTTAGTTTCGTAGTCAGAAGCCTTTGATTCCAGTGACACTCCGAATTTCCCACACACTCATGGACACGTATCAGTCAGATTGAGTTTGTAACGGACGGGGGATGGTTGGCTCAACATCCTTAGTTTCGTAGTCAGAAGCCTTTGATTCCAGTGACACTCCGAATTTCCCACACACTCATGGACACTAATCTCGGTCCATGCAGGGCAACCGTCATGCAGGCCCCCCATGTACATCGGGATAATTGTCATACGCGCCTACACATCATGCAGAGACTCTGACATTGATCTCTTATTTCTCTGCAGATGTCCTCCTTCTGCAAGGATTCGAGCTCGTTAAGTCGGCGAACCTCTCCCCCAAGCTGAGGTCTAGCACTCTACGAGTGAACAATCAGCTACAGAAAGCAGTTCTTAAGGCAACGAAGCCCCAGATGTTCGTGAAGGTTTTTCAAAACTAGATACTCACAGCAAAGATGTTTTCGCGAGCCAGCAATGACGAGAATGTTTGGGAACATTTCAAAGGTAAAAAAACCGCCGCACAGGCGACCCTGCCTCAGTCAGACCCTGCAAGTCAGCTCTGAAGTTGCTAAGCAGCATCCAGCCTTGCGGTTTTGGGTTTCTCCTTGCGCAGTGGCTGGAAACGTTGACAGTGATGGCGACCACTCCCCGCCCAGAGCTGTGAGCGTCTTAACAAAACTTAACACTCACATTGCGTACAGACATCCGGGATGCTCGCTTCATCGTCTCGCCTCCTGCTTGTGCAGGCGTCCACGCATCTTCCAAAGGGGCTTGGCCACACTTGTAAATTCCCATGGTGTTTGCAAAACATATCATTAAACTGCACCGCCACGCCCCGCGCCCAGACTTCGTGGCTTCGTATGCAGCCCGCCTTGCCTGCAATGCCTCATGTACCTGTCAGTCAAAACCCTGGGTCCACCGTGTACGCCGTGTGGACACAGGTGGTTTGTGAGGTTGGACGAGACTTCGATGATGGGATTTTTGTGCTGCCAGTACCCCTTCAAATACAATGAAGCATTCACGAGTCGGTCCTTGAACCGCTATCTGCCGCGACTGCATATCGGCTGCGATGGGCAAAGCTGCTTCCCCTTTGAAGCGTTACTTTTGCTGCGACCTTACGGCTCGCCTTACCAAAGAGATCCTGACGGCATCTGGGGTCGGCAGCTTGAGCCGGAGGCTCTTGAAGTGTATGTTACACAGCATGTAAAACAAACCACTGAAAAGAGAGGAGGTATTCTACGGTTGGGGCAGTTAGAAACGGTGAAAAGCACCGAAGCGGGCGCTTTCCTCACGGATATGCTGTGTCTACGCTGCAGCCAATGGCCTTTTTCATTGCTTTCTGTATTCGTGAATTTTGACCATGCCGAACAGGTGTTATTGTTGCTGCTACTTGCTACTACTACAAGACGTAGCCCACTAGCGTGCTTGCAGAACGTTTGGCTTCACGTTGATTCAAAGTTCGTATTACGATTCCCCCACAAGGTGGTCAGTAGCAGTGGTAGTGATAGTAGCTGTCGTCATCGGGAATTTTCACATCTGCGGTGTCCCCGTGTGAACCTGCCGAGCTGCGCGACTAAGCGCGACATCTAAGGCCAAAGTTTCTGGTGGATATGCCGCAGCAATTGCAACATTGCGCCTGGGTATGGCTGCCGTTCCCAACAGGGTCGTCTATGGCAGTGGCCGCCGGGGAGCTTATAGGGTGAGGGACGAGTGTTGGTTGGAGAATGCGCTCTTCTCGTACGTAGCTACTTTCCCCACCCATCCCCTAATCCCAACGTATCTTCACCCAAATGAATGTTCACACGTAACGTAGCGTGTAGGAAGGGCACCGACAACTACTACTGTACTAGCCTTGGCACTTACTTATACTATCAAGACACGGCTACTATTACTCCTCCTGCTGCTGCTGCTTCTACTACAACTACAACAACAACAACAACTGCTACTACTGGTGCTACTACTACTAGGCGTCGCGATGCTAATTGATCGCAATGTTTTTGGGCTTGCGCAGTTTTGCGAGAAGTTGCAAACGTAATGCGTTTTAAAGTACACTGTGTGCATTGACCTGTTGATTCTATGCGACTAGTTGACGGTCAACAAATCCGGGAAGCTACTTGTGGGTTGATTTATCAAGATGATAAGCGATCGGTTTTTTGTGGCTTTGCAAGTTGGAGTAGATTTTGTTCAAAGGTTTTGAGGTGTTGTAAATTACATGACGTCGTGCGCTTTTACATGCTTTTACAATGTTTGGCCTGCTCGTGTCGAGCGTTAACGGGTTCATGGAAAGGTGCAAAACCAAGTAACTCGCTTGGCCGTTTTTACGCGTTGTTGCTGTCCCTGATGAGAACCGCATCTGCAGCAGAGGAGCGCCGGACTTTGTTGCCATCATCTGCGTCGGTTTCGCTGGAGTGACAACCTAAGGCTGTGGTACTTCTCCTTGATGACCACAAGCAAGGTTTGAAAGACGGACATGTCGGAGCGCTTCCCAACAAGAGCGCTGCCCTGTCTAGCTCATTCCGCGCCAGCCATTGCATATCGACATTCCTCGGCCAAAGGTCAATGCTGAAAAGCTAGAAAGTTCTAAGGGCCGTGTAGGGAAATCTTTGCAATTTGCAAAATAAACTTTACTGTTAAAGTGACCTTAACTTTTTCGGGTAAACAAAATTTAGGAACCACAGAAAACCGAGGATCTTGCCGCTGTTGTGGCGGTGCGGTGTGCACGCTCGTTCACATTCTGGACAGCTTCCGCACTTGAATTCTTCACGCTTAGGGCGATTGGCCGGCAAAGTATTTTCAATCTCCACAGAAGTTTGCGCTGCCTCAAGAGCGCGTTGCCCTCGCCAGCGGCCATGTCTCTAAGCAGGGTTCGCTCTACGATATGTTCCTTTAGCATCGAAGGGGTCTGCGGTGGCAGCAGAGGAGCTTGCAGGGCACCCGAAAACATGTTCCTCAGCATCTATGCCGATTTATGGGGAATCGTAAAATCCGAAATCCAAGCCACCAGTGAAATTTGTTTGTCTGCAGTACGTATACTTACTGCAGACAAAGAAGAGCTTGAGGAGGTTATGTTAAGCATTGTACAGTGTCGTCTGCGCCCCCGGCACTGCTGTTAAATCGGCTGGCAGAGCTTGTAAAGTAGTCTGGTTCATTGTCGCTGGGAGATCTTGCTAGGTCCAAGACCACATGCTTTACCAGAGCGGGAACTTGCTCTGGCCACTCCAAGCACCAAGCATGCAGGCGCTTCAGGCGTTTCGCATGGGGGGAGTCAAAGCAGGAAATGGGAGATCGTAGGCCTTGTTCCATATCATATGAAGCGTATGCATCTGTCAATCATCCTCCCCTTGCTTGAGGCCCTGTGCCCCTGGCAAGAATTGCAAAGAATCTTTGCGTAGCCAGTGCTCGAAAAATCCCTTTTAAGTACTGCGGTAAACTTGCTGCAAACAAAGTCAGCGAATGCACTACAGATGAGACTTTGCCATTGGATTCCAGACAAAACCGTGATTACCTTCTCACGATACTGACACGTCGTGCAGCAACCAGCAACAGCAAAAGCAATAATGATGAGACGTGGCCATAGAAGTCAAAATAAAACGAACGTGGTTACCCTCCCACCGCACCCCCCCCC